ATATATCACGAAGAATAAATTGCATGCAATAGATCAAAACAAAAAAAGAAAAGAACAGTCATACATTATTACTTGAGATTTTATGGTAGAAAAATAATTTTTATTTTATTCGATTTAATTATTGATATCGATATATGCATACAAATATGCAATTAACGATTTAATTGAGGGGTATTGTTTCAGCGTTCGCAAAGAAATACTTCTATTATTACAAGAACGTCAATACAGACAAAAAAAAGAAAAAAAAGAGAAAGTGATAAATAAGGTATTCATAAGTAAAATCAAACAGAAGAGTAGTAAGTTAAACAAAAGTATGTAATACTTTTTCGTATATTAAGTTTTTATCCAACAAAGCAAAATAACATGGACGCAACAAAATTCTATGGATTTTTTTAAATGAAAAGAAGACTATATTATTATCTAAATTTCCTATTTTTTTGTTATAGATCAACATGACTTCTACAGATATTGAAATGTTTTCATTAGAGCCCTTATCTAATCAAGAGTCTCCTGCTACTGTTGACTCAACAATCAAATCAAATTCAGCTACAAATCTACTTGATCCACAAGCCACGGTTGATGTCTCTGATGATTCGCCAGCGACCTCCTCTAGAATCATACTATCTCCTATTAAAGGAGCTGTTTTGTTTGCTATATTTACATGTATAGTGATGCTTATTGGAATTCTCATAGTATATTTCAACTCACCAAAACCACCAGGTACGTTCGCTTCATAATCTTTATTTTATTTCAGAAAAACTACAGAAAATAAATGTATTTGAAGTCTGTCTTCATTTTAAAAAGAATGACATTTAATAAATCGTAATTTATTATTTTCTATGGTAATAAAAAATATATCTGTATCAATCGATGTTCTTTTTTTTATATTTCATGAAATTATTTTTTTTTGTATTGTTTAGGTAAACTATGTACAATCACTTTAAAATCAGAAGCTCAAAATTCTATAAGTGATGATTCTCATCCACAATCTATTGCCATTGGTGATTTCAATAATGACATTCGTCCGGATATTGTTGTTTCAAATTCAAATACAAATACTATCGGTGTATTTCTTAGAAATGACTCTCATTCATTCAAAGATCAACAAACATATTCGACTGGTTATGGTTCACTTCCATATGCAGTTAGTGTTGGTGATTTCAATAATGATCAACGATTGGACATAGCTGTTGCGAATTTTGGCACAAATAATATTGGTATCTTTCTTGGTATCGGCAATGGTCAATTTAGATCTCAAAAAATATTTACTACGGAATCATCTCGACCACGATGGATTGCTGTAGGTGATATCAACAATGATACACAACTTGATCTAGTTGTTGTTAACTACGGCACTAATGACGTTGGAATTCTTTTAGGAGATGGTTATGGTAATTTTGGAAAGCCAGTCGTTTTTTCTACTGGTTTTGACTCTATGCCATATTTTCTTGCCATTGCTGATCTTGATAATGATGGTTATCTTGATATAGCAGTAGCTAATCACGGCACCCGTAACATAGGTCTATTTTTTGGCCGTGGTAATGGAACATTGACAAATCAAATCATATTTAATATTGGTATTAGTTCTTACCCATATTCGATCGCTGCCGATGATTTAAATAATGACACATATAAGGATATTGTTGTGGCATGTTCTGGTTACACAAACAGTATTCATGTTTTGTTAGGCTTTGGAAATAGAACTTACGCGAATTCAAATAATTATTTAATTGGAAATAGTACTTCATCGGCTGTATCAGTAGTAATTGGTGATTTCAATAATGATGATATATATGATATAGCTGTAAATAATTATGCTCATGATAGTATAAGTGTATTTTTTGGATCTGGCGATGGAATTTTCTTAGATGAAGCAACAATCTATAGCAGTTATGGTTCTAAACCATATGCAATAATCGCTGGTGATTTTAATAATGATACTCGATTGGATCTTGCTGCAGTCAATTATGATTATAACTATATAGATATCATTCTTGTATATAGAAACTATAGTTTCTTAAGTCAAACTATATACCCTACAAGTGATATTGATACTCAACCGAACTCAATTGTCTTTGCCGATATGAATAATGATCATCAATTAGATATTGTTGTTACTAATTTTTGGAGTGACAATATTGGTATATATCTAAATGAAGGAAATAATACTTTTTCAAATCAGACTACATATTCTACTAATAGTGATTCCGGCCCATCTTCAGTTATTACTGGCGATTTTAATAATGATGATCAATTAGATATTCTTGTTACCAATCAAAACCTTCGTGCTATAGGTATTTTTCTAGGAAATAGTAGTGGAATATTTTCCAACCAAACTACTTATTCAATTAACGCACAGCCAGTTTCTGTTGCTACTGGTGACTTCAATGATGATAATCGTCCTGATGTTGTCATCGTAGATTCGACCAGTAATATTATAGGTGTTCTTCTGGCACTTGAAGATGGTACATTCTCTAGTCAAACTACGTATTCAACGGGTAAAGATTCTCTGCCGTCTGCTATTACCATTGGTGATTTTAATAACGACAAACAATTGGATATTGTCGTTGCCAATTATTTGGGTAGAAATATAGGTATTTTTTTTGGATATGGAAATGGAAGTTTTTCGAGTCAACAGACATATTCAACTGGCCAAGATTCTAGTCCAATATCAGTTGTTGCAAGTGATGTAAATGGTGACAAAGTACTTGATATCATTGTTGCCAATTATGATATGAATAATATAGGAATTTTATTCGGATATAGTAATATTAGTTTTTCTCTTCAATATAGCTATTCCACTGGAAATAATTCTAATCCATATTGTATCATTGTTGATGATGTTAATAACGATACAAATCCTGATATTATCGTTGCCAATTATCAGATTGGTAATATCGGTATTTTTCTTGGAAATCAAGATGGTACTTTTTCTATTCAAACAACTTATTCAACTGGAATTACATCAAATCCAAAATCGATTACTATTGGTGATGTAAATAATGATGGTTGGGCAGATATTGCTGTGGCAAATTATGGCGCTGCGAATATAGGTATTTTATCTGGATATGGGAATGGTAGTTTTACTGATCAAAAGACTTTGTCAAGCAAAAGTGGTACCACTCCATTTTCTCTTGCCATGGGAGATTTCAATAATGACAATCAACTGGATATTATCGTTGCTAATTATCAAGGCAACAATGTCGATATTTTTTTTGGTTATAGTGATGGGAGTTTTGGAGATCGTCGAAGTTATTCGACTGGTAGTGATTCAAAACCATTTGCAGTCGCCACTGCAGATTTTAATAATGATAATCAATTAGATTTTGTCGTTGCTAATCGTGAGAGTAATAGTATAAGTATATTTTTTGGATATGCTAATGTTACATTTTCTCTGCAAGGCACCTATTCAACTGGCAGTGATTCTGAACCATATACTATAGCGATTGGTGACTTAAATAATGATAAACGATTAGATGTTGTTGTTGCTAATGCTAAAGCTGACAATATTGGTATTTTTCTTAATTATGACAATGGATCTTTCTCAGCTCAACAGACATATTCAACTGGTGATGGCTCTTTTCCAATAGATGTTGCCATTGATGATTTTAATAATGACAATATATTGGATATTGCCGTTGCCAATCGTGAAACAAGTACTCTAGGCATTTTCCTTGGACAAAATAATACTAGTTTTTCGAATCAAACCTCCTATTCAATTGGTATTGCTACTTCACCAGGAGGTTTGGCCATCAGTGATCTCGACAATGATGGTTATCTGGATATAGTCATTACCGCTACTTATGCAAGTTGTATTAATATTTTTCTTGGATATGGGAATGGAAAATTTTTCCCTTCAGACAAATATCTAACTGGTGGTGGTTCTCGACCTGGCTCATGTACGATTGCAGACTGGAATCATGACAATGTACAAGATGTGATTGTTACTAACTGTGTCACGAACACCATAGGCGTGCTCGTTGGATTTGGTGACGGAACTTTTTCCAATGCAATAACTTATTCAACTGGTTCAAATTCTTGTCCAAATTCGATTGTTGCTGGTGATTTTAATAATGACAGTCTATTGGATGTTGTTGTAGCTAATTCCGGTGCCGCCAACATAGGTGTTTTCTTAGGATCTACATATATGGATGGTGTTCGTGAAAATACATATTTCACTGGATCCTCTCCACATCCTGAAGTTGTTGGTGTTGGTCATTTTAATAATGATACATATTTGGATATAGCCATATCAAATTATGGATTAGGAACTGTAGGAATACTTTTAGGATCTATAAACGGAACATTTCCATTACAAACAATGTTTTCAACTGGTACTCTATCGTATCCAACTTCGATTGTCATTAGTGATTTGGATGATGATAGTCAATTAGACATTGCAGTGACTAGTTCGGGTGGTGAAAGTGTAGGCATTCTATTTAGTAATGGAAATGGTAACTTTCAGGATCTAAATATATATCCGACGGGACTCGGCTCTATACCATCTTCGATAACCATTGGTGATTTCAATAATGATAAGAAACTTGATCTTGTTATTGCAAATTCAGGCACAAATACTGTGCAAACACTTTTGAAATATAATATTGAAGCATTTAGGACACAAAAACGGTATTCTACTAGTAGTCAGTCTGCTCCACAAGTGGTGCTCGTCGGTGATTTTAACAACGATAGTCGATGGGATTTTGTTGCCGTCAACACGGGTCTTAATAACATAGGTGTTTTTCTAGGATTGGAGAATAATACCTTCTCAAATCAAAAAACATATACGACTGGTGAAAAGTCGTCACCATATGCAGCCGTAGTTGCTGACGTTAATAATGATAATTACCTAGATATTATTGTAACCAATTATTGGAATGATAATGTCGGTGTTTTCCTTGGTTTTGGTGATGGTAATTTTGCAGATCAGGTAACTTACCCAACTGGCTCCGGTTCTCGTCCAATAAATCTCATCATTGCTGATTTTAATCATGATACTCATTTGGATATTGTTGTAGCCCTTCATTACATCGACAAAATCGGTTTTTTTTTTTGGATATGGCAATGGCAGTTTTCCTACGATGAGCACCTGTTCAGCTGGCAGTCATGTAGGACCAATATCTATTGATGTTGGCGATTTTAATGATGATAATAACCTAGACTTTGCAGTTGCCAATTATTTGCATGACAATATAAATATTTTTTCTGGATATGGTAACGGAAGCTTTTCAATGCCTATTCCCTATTCGACTGGCCTTAATTCCAATCCAACATGTATTCTCGTCGCTGATTTAGATAAAGATAGTAGACTGGATATCATTACAGCCAATTCAGGTGCAAATAATATTGGTGTCTTGTTTGGACGAGGAAATAGTACTTTTTCTGAACTAAATACTTTTTCAACTGGTACTGGCTCAGCTCCAAATGCAATCGCCATCATGGATTTTAATAATGACAATCAATTAGATATTGCTGTTGCTAACTACGGCAGTGATAACGTCGGAATTCTTCTCGGATGTATCAATGGCACTTTTTTCAGTCAATTGACTTATCCGACTGGTGACTTTTCGTCGCCTCTGACTATCGCTGTAGCAGACTTCAACAATGATAGTTATCTGGATATTGTTTCGTCTAACTCTGGCACTGATTGCATTGGTATGTTGTTGGGATATGCTACCGAAGACTTTTTAATTGCACCACCTTATTCAACTGGATCTTTGTCGCAACCACTATCTCTTGTAGCTAATGATTTCAACAATGATACCTTCTTGGACGTCGTTGTTGCTAACAATGGTACAAATAATATAATGATTCTATTTGGATCAGGTTATGGTACTTTTAGCAGTCAAGTAATATATTCAACTGGTATTACTTCTCATTCATGTTCTGTAGCCATTGGTGATTTTAACAACGATCATCGTATGGATATTGTTGTTGCAAATTCTGGCGAAGATAACATTGGTATTTATCTTAGTAATGGTAGTGGCACGTTTCTAGATCAAACAACGTATTTTACTGGTCTTCGTTCTCAACCATATTCAGTTGTTGTTGTTGATTTCGATAACGATACTCGATTAGACATTGCTGTAGCTAACTATGGTTCTAGTAGTATTGGCGCTTTTTTCGGGTATGGAAATGGAAGTTTCGCTAATCAACTAATATTTAATACTGGTTATCGTTCACATCCATTTGCACTTGCTATCGGTGATGTTAACAATGATAATCTAACAGATATTATTGCTACTAATAATGGATATGGTAATATAGACATTCTTATGAAGACTTGTTAGTAATAAGTCTTGCCATTTGAACTATTATTTCTTAATTAACTTAATAAACTGACTTTTTTCTATGATATACTTTGTAAAATATTTTTTTAAATATTTAAATAAAAACAAATTCTTCTCTTCTCATTTCATGTATAAAATGAATAGTTTATTGTACGTTGCAGAACTTCTCATGTTGGATTGTGTACTAAATATTTTTTTGAAGTACGACATAATAAATGATAGAAAATTGAGAAATGGGCATGGATTTAACATTCTCACTCAGCCGCATCCACATCCTCATATTCATTGACATTCATCAACACTAAAATCACTTCCATATTCTGCTATTTGTATATGTAATTTATTTTTCAATTGAACGGCTTCTAATGCATTCTAGAATTGTTCATTTGTATAATGTTTAAATGAATCTACATTATATCGAATTGTATTACAACGCTATAAAAGTTGTTGTTAATTATTCTAATGTAATTTTTGTTTATCGTTCACTTATATCGTTCTCCATCATCTTTTCAAAGTATATATGTCATGTGAAGCAATACAATTTTTATTATTGTTATTGTGCCATGGATACAGAATATTTTACGAACGATAGATGTCACTATCGTTTTTTGTACAATAATTCTGTCTGATTCATCATGTTGAAATTAAGTTGACACATTACTGAATAAAAAAAAGAGACAAAATAGATTATACGAGTATGGGGTATTTACGTATTGTATTTAGTTTTCATTCAAACCCACTCTCAAGTTTTGGCCACATATTTATATTCAGTGTCGATCAAAAAAAACTTCTTCAGGTGTTTACTCTAATCTTCTTTCGATCTTCACAAATAGTTGTTAAAAGTATACAGTTTTTCCAACAATCATTCTAAAGTTTTATTCGGCAGCCAAGAGAACACAAATTGAACAAATATTGTAATGAGTCTATATTAGATCTTATCAGAACATACAAACTTTTCTCATGAAATCTTTACTCAATAACAATGACTTTAAACAAATAACAGAAAGACGAACCTTATTTTTCTTTTACCACTTCAGAATAAAAAAATAGAACAAAAATAAGTTGACTCATACATATTGTTTACTAGTTGAATATCATTTTATTTATCATTCGACTTCCAGATCAGATAATTTTTCTTTTAAACTATCGACAGAACATATCCATTGGTTCAATATAGATAATTAAATATAAAAAATAAATACAAAAATAAAACATTCAACACCTATTTCTGTACTTCGATGGACATTTCTTCGTCATATAACCCAATCACTTAATTAAATTAATTATGACGATTTAAAGAAAAATATTCTTTGTGAAGAAATGTCTTAGTTAAATCACTTGATGTTCGACGTGATCTTTATGATATTTATATAATGAAGAAGTAAGAAAAGAAAAGAAATGGTAATTACTATGTCAAATCATAAAACAACGTTGACTTGATCTTTATTCATTAGCAAGAGCTGCTCGATTACGAGATTTTTTTTTTGTTGTTGATGGTGGTTTTGCATATGCTCATGTTCGACATTCATATTTTTTAGCACTTGTTCAAAGAGTATTTCGTTATTCTAAAAATATTGATCGTTTCCATTCACCAGCGTATATTATGATAAGTGATCTATCAGATAATTTTCAAACGTCACGTTATTCGTTACTACATGAACATTCAACTTATTTTCAATCAACAAGAGATCAATATATTGATTTATTTGATAAAGATCGTTTAGTTTATTTAACACCTGATTCACCAAATAAAATGACACATTTTGATCATAATGCTGTTTATATTGTTGGAGGGATTTATGATGATCAAAATAAAGAACCTTTAACATATGAAAAATTACCATTAGAAAAATATTTTACGGAAGTTAGAATAAAATTTTTATTCTTATACATACATATATGATAATATTAAAACATACAAATAATAATTGGATAAAAGCCTTTCGTTATGTATCAAAAAGAAAAATTGCTAGACGAGTAGAAGAAAATAACGAAAAGGAAAACAGTGAAGTCAAATGAATGATAATATTATCTACCCGTATTTGTTTTTTCAATATAATCAGAGTTTTAGATATACAAATAAAATATTCTAACTCTTAAGTAATATTTCTGATGACAGAAATCGTCATAAATAGGTGATTCATATAAAATTCATTCTCCATCCCAACTGAATATTTTGAAGAAATTAGTTAAACAAATTTCTGTAGTTCAAGTCAGTCAGATATATTTTCACATGCTACATTTATATTTTTATTACAAAACTTCTTATGGATTATTTGCATCATGTTCTATTGACATACATCCCATATTCTTCTTTTTTTAATAAATTTTTATTTATTTTATATCTCATGACTGTTTTTCCGAACCTTCTATGTACCAACGAACAATATTTTTCCGAACGTTGTATTTACCAACGAACGACGGTTTCCCAAGCGTTGTATTTACTAACGGACAACTTGTTTTTCCCGAACGTTGTATTTACCAACGAACGACTTTTTTCCGAAAGTTGTATTTATCAGAGATATCCGTCGCTACGTACGGAACTACAGAGAATCAATAAGATATAACCTAACACTCATATTTTATCTATTCGATTTAGGTATCCATTGCTCTCTTAAATAATATTTATATGACTGAAACATCACTAGTTTTAAATGTTCTGAAAATACTCTTCTGAATAAAAATAAATTATTTGTCTTATAAATAATAAATTATGTCGCTTCTTCTTTGTTTGTTATTAAACTCAAAATAAAACTAAAAGTAAATACAACTATATATTCTAGCACACATTGAGCACTAACGTTCATTATTTCCTATTTAAAATAATAGAAATACAAACGTTAATTATTATTCTGATTCAATATGCTTCTTCAACAATTGCTTATTTTAATATTTGTACAATTCATATTATCCTATAAATTTACTGAAGATAATTGGAACAGTTTCGATGCATATGGTGTAAAATTGGCAACTAACGATGCAGTCGTGGTACAAGCACGTAATAAAGATGCTCAGTTTGTTCTGCAGTTCGCTCCATTCAATCCATCGAATTTATCGTCGCCATGCCAAATTGATTATCCCGGTCTTGCCACAAGTGACATGAATTTTATCTATAGTATAGATGTACCAAAAGTAGTCTCTTATGATGCATCCGTCGTTTTTATTGGTGAAAACAGCGGTAATTCGTCATCACCATATCCGTTCATTGGACATCTTCTTGCGAACGCATCCTGTGAAACTACATACAATATGTACTATTTTACACCATTTACACACGATGAGTTTTTTGTACACAGTATTGATCCATCAGATCAAGTAGCGTACGGATTTTCCAGTCGATTTGCATTCAGCTATGATTTGCAAACACACAATGTCACTTATTTGCCACAATGGCCCTTTGCCAATTTTACACCACATGCTGTCGATATAAGTAGTAGTTATGTGGCTATAATCGCTGGTTTTATTAATGAGACACAGAACACATATAAACCTATTGTCTACATGTTACAAATGAATCGAAGTTTCTTCACAATTGTTGATACATGGCCATATATGCCATTGAATAGCTCATGGCAAGCTACAACATTGAATCGAGATGCAGGCAGTTTTACTAGAAAACATGTCATGAGTGTGTCTATTCATGATAATACTTCAGCTGTTCTTGTTGGTATGCCATCTTTCAATATTGTCTTCTGGTTTTCTATAACGATAACAAATTTAACATTATTAGCAGCTCGTGCCAATGGGTATCAACGTGGCTATGGTCAAAGTTTAGGATGGAGCGATGAAGATGGAGGTCCATATCCTGTTTTACTTGGAAATGCTTATTCGTTTCCTTACCAATGGTCTAGCTCGACTATCTACTGGTTCTATTGGGATCAGTTTATCTCAGACAATCCGATTATGCCAATGTTTCCTACAGTTCAATGTCCTCTATGGATTGATCTTGATCAACATTTGATTACTATCGCTATGTCAACACTCAATCTTGTAGTTCTTGATTCAACTGGACAGGTTTATGTTATGTTACAAGCTCCAGAAGGTTATTATCCAACGACAAGCGTAGCCATGGGTATTAATCCTGCATTCTCTGATTTCGTTTATTGTCCAGGAGGTACTTACAAATATTGGATAGGTGTCTACATTTGCTATCCATGTACGATGGGGACAATGACTTTAGAAGAAGGAAGTACTGAATGTTCACTTTACAATTGCAATGGAGACAATTCATTTTGTCCACTTGGTTCAGTCACTAATGATACTTATTCAGATATGCTTACATTTGTCTCTCAAGAACTTAGTTATCCAAAATCACCTGAATCTACTATTTTTGATGATATTCTTATTCAGAATATGTTTACTTTTGGTAGTACATCTCATTGTTTACTTGTATCACCAATATTCTGGGTAATGGTGATGACTGGTTTTATAATGCTTATTCTTCTTGCTATGGGCATTCTGAAATTCTTCAAACAACATCATAATACTCGTGTTTTAATTAAACATATATTTCGTCACGCCGATCTTATCAATGAAGGAGAACTGTGGATTGGTGGACCTGCATCTCTTGCTCTTATGGTTTTATTGATATTTGCTTACACTTTTAGTCAATCTTATTTAAATCAATATCCAATTGAAACAACCTCAGCATCAACATTCGCATGTGATGAAACACTTCGTAATGCAAAATTTGATAAAAATCTTCAATCTCTTTCTACACCTCGTAATGAAGAAGAAGAACCAATATTTGATTTACTCGATCAACAGCAATTCACACTCACCATCGATTTTATCAATACTCAACAAACATGTGATACTGTACAAATCACACAGACCATTCATGCTTATTCTAGAGAGATATCATCGAATTGCAGTTATAATCGATCCATACTCTCTCTTTCAACTGTTCTTCAGTCACACACAATCAGTCTCAATTATGTTTTTGATGATGCTAAATCAATTGGTGGTTTTAGAGTTCGTATCTATGGTCAACAACTCGAAACAAGTAATTCATCGAGCAAGATATATTATCTTGTTCGTGAACTTAATTTCATTCAACCATTCCTGATGAACAATCAGACAATGGCTTATGATCCAAATATTGAATTTCAACTTATTCGTGTCATCAATGAGACTGATTCACTTTATGATGGTGGAGCAAGCTATTACAATGGCCTATGGAGTCTGATCAGTCTCACCAGTACTTCAGATCTTTTTCTTACCTATGATAATTATATGTACTATGGCTTATTAAAAACATCGTTCTCAATTTCAATTTCAGAAACAATTTATTATATTAAAAATTATCAAGAACCTATTGCTAAGCAAGCAGAAATTATTTTTCACAATCTTCTTTTTACAATAGTCTGTTTGGAATTATTTGGACTTATATTTATTATTATCAAACTCGTCGGATTACCATTGGCCAATAGAATACGGCGCATCATGGAAAAACGCTCCAATATAATTCATCCAGAACATTCCTCTGATACTGTTACAGTATTATCGTAATTTGCAGAAGAAGATGATACTTTTGGAAACTTAGTAACAGTTCGTTTATTTAAGAGTAGAGGGTGGGTGTAGGTATATAAGTATTGCTTTTAATTTTCATCTACACCCACCTCAGATTTTAGCCACATATTTATATTCACTATCGATAAAAAAACCTCTTCAAATGTCTACTATAATCTTCTTTCGATCTTCACAAATAGTTGTTAAAAGCTTTCAGTTTTGCGAACAATTATTTTGAAGTTTTATTCTGCAGCCAAGAGAGCACAGATTAAACAAATATTGTAATGAATCCATATTAGATCTTATCAGAACATACAAACTTTTCTCATGAAATCTTTACTCAAATCATCATCATCATGTAATGCTTTGCACACGTTGTTTTGACTTTATATGAAGCAAATTTTATTGAAGGGGCAATTTTAAGATTTTCTGTATTCTTTTTTGGTGAGGCGCTAAAATACAAGTAGCAGATTTAGTTGAGAATGCTTCCTATTCCCAAAAGTTACACATTCCGGAATAGCTGCACCCACCCAATTTAACATCATTCAATTCCGGAATTCCTTGCATACGATTCCTGCCTTTTCCGGAACGGATCGAATTCGATTCCTGCCAATTCCGGAATTCCTTCCATCAGATTAATGCTATTCCT